GCTGTTTTTAATCAGATTGGCTTCTGAGTGTCTCATAGCCCAGCTGCAAGAACAAACAACTTCTTTCCCCCTTTTTTCCTAAAGGAGAGTACCCCCCTCTTCCAGCAAACATAGGAGAGAGGGAAGGGAGGGGGAAGAAGAGAAGTGTAGCTGGTGATCCATCTGTAAGTGATTTGACACTGTGAAGGTCAAAGGGTTAATCTTCAATTTAAACCACACTGCTGAGACAGCAAAACTGATTTTATCCAGTACAAGAAAACACACTCCTATACACACACATACTCCCCCCACCATGCTTTGCTTCCCAACATCTCCAAGATAATACTGCCCTTTTTTAATAGCTCCTTTTGACAGTAAGCCATAAATAATCAGTCTTGGAGCCCTTTCCTACTGACTGGAGCCAATTAAACCTTAAGCAAGAACACGCTTGAAAACAAAACCCAACAAAAAACCTAGGGGTTATTTCAGGTCCCCATTATCAAGCAACACATTTTGAAGCTTGACTGGGGGTGGGGAGGCTTCAAGCTCTAACTCTGCTACCTTTAGATAGGACTAGCAAGAGCTCAGCTTTCATCAAATGTCACAATCCATGCTTTGTATGATACGTGTCTTTGTCAAAAGACAGAGGCATCATTGATATAAAGAGATAGATCTAGAGATCCAGCAAGCAAAGTCCCATGTACATTATGTCAAAGAGGCCATTTTCTCCAATTCTACCTTCCCTGGAGCAAAAAAATTTGCTCCAGAACATTGGCGGTCCTCCAGTAGAGCATGGAAAATGGCTCAGGGAGCTGCTGAAGGGGAAGGGAGAGAATCAAGGGAATTAATGTTTGAAGGCCTCTTGCCTTCCAACATCAGCAGGAGTCTCTGCTAGATTACAGACCCCTCCACCAATGGATCTACTTGTGGAAGAAGAAGTGAAGCCATGAACATTGTTCTGTAAGGCTATACTTTTCAGAAATAGGGTGGCCTGACATGTGTTTCAGAGAGCTGCAGGGATTTAGAGAAACAGTCCTTTAAAATAAAGGCCCTCTGGCAACTCCAGAATTGTTTTGTCTTCATAAGCCAAGAGTCTACCTCATCCAGAAGCTAGACCTCAGTTAGTGTTTTTTCATCCATAAGTGCCATCTTAATAACAGTACTTCCTCCAGATTTATTTATTTATAAGATTTATATAGTAGCCCATATTGTGCAACATAACCTGGGAAGCTCACAAACAATAAAAACCATAAAAAACTAAAAGACAATACAGGTAGCCCATATTGTGTAACATAACCTGGGAAGCTCACAAACAATAAAAACCATAAAAAACTAAAAGACAATACAGGTAGCCCATATTGTGTAACATAACCTGGGAAGCTCACAAACAATAAAAACCATAAAAAACTAAAAGACAATACAGGTAGCCCATATTGTGTAACATAACCTGGGAAGCTCACAAACAATAAAAACCATAAAAAACTAAAAGACAATACAGGTAGCCCATATTGTGTAACATAACCTGGGAAGCTCACAAACAATAAAAACCATAAAAAACTAAAAGACAATACAGGTAGCCCATATTGTGTAACATAACCTGGGAAGCTCACAAACAATAAAAACCATAAAAAACTAAAAGACAATACAGGTAGTCCTCATTTAGCGACCACAATTAGGACCAGCAACTTTGTCATTAAGCGAACTGGCCACTAAGTAGGAAATCACATGACTGTCATTGTGGTTTTCTTTTTTCCACTCCCCCGCCCTTTGGAATGCTCATCCCAGTGCTGGGTGCTGGGATAATTAGCAAGAAGGGAATTAATGTTTGTATTCACATTCATTGGAGAGGGATTACAAGAGAGTAAGCAGGCACACAATGGGGAATACACACTGAAAGCAATGTGCTGGCACCAGCAGCCCCAAGCTAGCTACACAAACAGCCTGGTATATTCCCCATTGCGTGCCTGCTTATTCTTTTGTAATCCCTTCCTCTCCAATTTTTCTGCTCTGCAAGGTGTGTGTGTGTGTGTGGGGGGGGGGAATCAACAGGTCAGGCACAGGACAATGCGTACTAACTGTAATGTGACTGAGGGATGCTGTGAAGCTCATAAATGAGGTTACTGGTAAAGTTATTTTTTCAGCACTGTCGTAACTTCAAACAGTCACTGAATGAGGCAGTCGGTAAGTGACGTCTACCTGTACAGAAAACTCTCATTGCCCCCAACTGCTAGACATCCCCACAAAAAACCTTTCTGGGCCCCAGCCTCATACTACCCCAATACTTGTGGGAAAAGCCAGGTCTTCACGGCTTTTTGGAAAGTTAGGAGAGTAGGAGCCTGCCAGATCTCAGGGGGGAAGGTGTTCCAAAGGACAGGGGCAGCTACTGAGAAAACACACTGCCTAGGTCCCACTAAATGGCAACATTTGAGGGAAGGGATCTGGAGGGCACCCACCCTATCAGACCTAGGGGAATGGGCAGATACTCTCGGGGAGAGGTGGTCTCGCAGATAATCTGGCCCTGTGCCATTCAGAGCTTTAAAGGTGATAACCAGCACCTTGAATCGCACCAGGAAAGAAACTGGAAGACAGTGCAGTTTGCCCAGCACTGTAGTGTAACATGGGTGAATTGTGAGGCACCCAGAAGAAGATGAAACTTTGCAAAGGCCCCCCAAGCCATAGCTGCCACCTGCTCCTTAACCGGATCCACAAGTCCAAGAGGACATCCAAACTGTGTACCAGCTGTCTGGGGAGGTGCAACCACAGCAAGAGTCAAAGATGATACTTCCCCAGAACCAGGGGGACCAAAAAACCAGAGCCACTCTGTCTTGCTAGGGTTGAGTCTAACCTGATTCCTCCTCATCCAAATCCTTACAGCCTCCAGGCACTGAGCCAGCACCAGGACAACATCACTTGGTCAGCCAGGGGTGGAGATTTATAACTATAGTATGCTGATGATACCACACCCATACTGTTGGATGACCTCTCCCAACAGTCTTGTGTAGAGGTTAAAGAGAAGGGATGAAAGGTCCGAGCCACATTGTAGGGTCAATCTGTCACTCCCACCAACACCGGCTAGAACCTGCCACAGAGGAAGGAGAAACACTGCAAAACTGCCCTCCGCTTCCAACTCCCAGAGCCAGTCCAGAAGGATGCCACAGTCGAGGGTAGCGAATGCTGCTGACAGATCCAGGACGGATGCACCACCCCCATCCTGAGCCCTCCGCAGATCATCCACAAGTGTGACCAATGT